CAGCAGGACCAGGGCCAGGTAGGACTCCAGGTCCTGACAGGACAAGGAAATCACAGAAAGAAGGAGGGTGTGGTCCCTGGGAATCACAAAGGACCCCATGAGCTTCCTAGAATGAGGACCTGGTACTTGGCACAAGGCAGTGCTGTGGAAACAGAAGAAGCATTTATAACATACACACACATACAATGATGCACACGTGTAATATAAAGAGGAGGGAATGCGGTTGTGTTTTTAAGATAGTAAAGCTTTTCATCTGAAAGTGAGAGGGCAGCAGGGCTGGAGCCACAGATTGAGTTCTTTAAATGACAGAGTCACAGAGACAGGGGAGCAGACATGCTTTGGTCAAGTTCTTCTGGCCCTTTGCATTCACCATTGAGAGAACTGTGGGTCACCAGATCCCTCTTCACAGCACCTGTCCCCATTCTGTCCCACAGGTTGTTTTTCCTCCTGTACCTGGATGCCTAGTGAGCTGTAAAGAAAACCTGTCAGGATTCCCTGAGTGACACCAAGACCCAGCAGCTGCCATGGGCTCCCCAGGTAACCAGTCTTATTAATTCCAAGCAACCCAATCCCCATCCAAAAGCTGTATTAGGGCACCTGCCCTTCACAGCGAGGACCAGAGCTTGCTTACAGGTGTGCCTACCTCAAGAAAGGCCTGGTTTTTTGTTTGTTTGTTTGTTTGTTTGTTTGTTTGTTTGTTTGTTTATGTTTTTGTTATTTTGTCATGTGAAAAAAAATCTGAAGTTGATACAGAAACCCGGGGCTTGAGGAACAGGAAATAGAATCCTCCACTCTGGAGTGACTCTGCCCAGGAACACCCTACACCAGCCTTGGATCCACACCAATCTCCAAGCCCTCTGTTCACTGGCTTCCTCCCCACCTCTGCTGCTTAGGCAGTCAGGTCATTTGCTCAGCACTTGGCCAACCCACACAGCACAGCAGTCGTGTTGACGAATGAGAGAGAAAAAACTGCAGAGACGTGTCCTCACTCAGCACGGCTCTCATTAAGGAAATAGGCAACAGATAGCCAGGGAGAGGGACACGTGTTCGTCATGGAAATGTAAGTTCGTCTGGCCACTGTGGAAATCAGTATGGAGATTCCTCAAAAATATGAAAATAGAACTTCCATAAGACCCAATTACCCAGCTCAAGGGTGAACACCCAAGGGAACCTCCATCAGTGTGTTAGAGGGGTGCTGGTACATCCTGGTTTATCAGTGTGATTCACAGTAACTAAGATATGGAAGGAGCAATCTTGCACATCCACAGATGGATGCATAAAGACAATGTGATGTACTAACTATGGAATTTCATTCAGCCTTAAAGATGAATGAAAGTATGTTGTCTGCAGGAAAATGGATGGAACGCTGTGGGTCATCGTTTTGACCAAAATAAGTCAGACTTAGAGGACAAATATTGAGTGTTTTCTTTCAAATGTGGAACCTAGATCACACACACACACACACACACACACACACACACACACACACACACACACACACACACACAGCATGAAAGTAGTAATGGAACTATTTAGCCAAAGGCAGACTAGTAACAGGAGATGGTACAGACTGAAAACAGTCCATGGACATGATAAACTTGAATGAAAGTGGCATTTTGAAACTCTTCACTATGGACAATAAACAGATGTTAATAAGACAGAAAAAACACTCAACAGAACAAGGAAGGGAGGAAAGTTTAGAAGCAGGGAGCTCAGAGAACCCAACAAGCCCTGTATTCTTGAGGAAAGTAGAGAGCATGTGGATTCCTCGGGGTAAATGTTCCCTTTTACTAAATATGGCAGTCTGAAAACCTTGACAGGTGCTGGGGTGTCAGCCCCTGATTGATACATGAGGAAATCACAAGTTGGCGTGGAGGGTCCCACCTACCAGTGACCCCCATATGCTGCCAATCTTGGCATGTCCATCACAGCAGGAATCCTCTTCACTGACAGTTGATTTTAGTAGTGTGACATTTGAAATGTCATTTTCAAATGTAAGAGGCACACCCACCAGGCATGTTACAAATAACTCGTACTCACTCCCTTCCTCTTAATACGAAAACCTCCACATCCCTGAGAACACTCATTGTGGGCAACTCACTTGGGCTGGAACCTGACCTCAAGGGACCTGAGAATATTTGCGGCCATTACACTGTTGGTCTCATTTCATGAAAGTGCCCCTGTTCTGCTGCCATTGTGAATAAATGCTTGGACTGCTGGGACTGCCCCTGGATGCCTCCTCCTTTCTTCTTCTTCCTTTTGCATCTGTCCCTCCTCCTCTCTCTCTCTGTCCTCCCTCTTTCTTCTCTTTCCCTCAAACAAAGTCTTGTATGTCACCCAAGCTGTCCTCAAACTCACAGTCTTTCTACCTCATCTTCGATGTGCTGGGATTATGGGTCTGCACCATCATTTCAGGATTCCATTTCTCACAGGTTATAAATGCTAATTAATTGAATATTTTAGAGTAGCTAATTAATTGAACATTTCAGAGTAGATAATAGTGATAGTGAGAACTTAATTTTTAATATTATTTCTTTAGTGATTTGTTTATTTTCATTTTATGTGAACTTGGATTTTTCCTGAATGTATATCTATATGAGAGGTTTGGATATCATAATGCTGTAGTTACAGGCAGTTATGAGACACCTATGAGTGATGAGAATTGAACCTGGGTCCTATGGAAGAACAGCCAGGGCCCTTAACTACTAAACCATCTCTCTAGCCCTATTTTGAACATTCTTAGCTGAATGACAAAAGTTTGAACTAATAACATACTAATTTTCCATGAAATATCATACTGTGTTACATATATACATACAATTACAATAGGACAGTTGAAAATGAAAATTTAAAGTCACTTAAAAATATTGTGAAAGATTTAGACTCTGAATGAGTTGAGTGTTTGCATGTATGTGTATGTGTGTATGGCCATGCATAGAATAATCCACGAATATTCACTCTTCCTCTGCTGTTTCCTCTGGTGTTGTCAATTCCATTTCCTTTTAATGTTTTTTTTTTTCAAGACAGGGTCTGACATTGTAGCTGGAGCTCTCCTGGAGCTCACTACGTAGACCGGCGGGACCAGGAACTCACAGGCCTGCCTCAGTCTCCCGAGTACTGGGATGAAAGGCGTGCACCACTGTGTCCGGCTGCATTTCCTTTTTAAGATTCTTCTATCGGCTCTGTGGACCATTCGTTCCTATATTCAATATGAGTCAGTTTCTAAACTAGTGTTACTCACCTTTGTCAGTGTTGTAACTAATGAAAACATAATTTTCCTTATAATATTGCACATTTATTATAATTTTGTACATTTTGGTCCATCCTTGAAGGGAAGCAGGGAGAGAGCTCACATCATGGCACAAAAAAGCGGTAACATGAAAGGGCCAAGACAAGATGCCCATCAGCCCCAAAGACACATCCCAAGTGCCCTCCTGACTTTATCCAGGCTCCACTTCCCATGGTGCCTCTGCTCAGTCTTTGAACCACTCATTAGCTCAGAGCAATTATGCTCTACTTATACCTGGGAGCCCCCTCACAAACCACCCAGATAAGGGCTACTGATCTCTAAGATATTTATTAATCCAGTGGATTGAAACTGGGGATTAATAACTAACCATTCCAGTGTCAAAAGTCACATTTGAGGCTGGAGTGGATCAATGGTTAAGAGCACTTGTTGCTCTTGCAGAGGACCAGGCTTCAGTTCCCAACACCCATATCAGGTTCACAACAGTCTGTAACTGCCACTCCAGGGGACCCAAGGCCTTCCTTGGCCAACACACACACACACACACACACACACACACAC